TATATATATATATATATATATATATCTTAGTAAATTAGGAATAAGGCCTATATATATTTTTCTATAGACAACATGGAACTTTTGAGTTGTTAATATCAACACAATTTTTACTTTAACATAAAAGTCATAATTATTGAAAATGCACAAGTGAAAACTTTAGAATTTGAGACTGTAAATATATTACCCATGGCTAAGTGAAAATCTTTCACTTTTAATATAGGTATAATTTTCACAATTTCATGATGCAATTGAACTACTAGCATAAGACATTTGATACTTTCCTGTAGTAGATGGAACAATAAAGAAAAAAATTATATTACTGTCAAATAATGTAAGATATTCAAGTAATTTAAATGTCACAACTTTTAAAAATATTTACTTTAGAATTCAGGTACTTTTTAACTTAATTTTATTTTTGATGACATAATAATTGTTCATATTTATGGGGTACACAGTGATATTTTGATACATATAATGTACAGCGATTAGATCAACGTAATTAGCATATCCAGCATCTCAAATATTTATTGTTTCTTTGTGTTGAGAATTTTCAAAATATTTTCCCTTCTAGCTCTTTGAAATTATATAACATATTGTTAACTATAGTCATCCCACAGTGCTCTTGAAAACTGGAACTTATTTCTCCTACCTGGCTGTAATTTTGAATCCTTTAACAAATCTCTCCCTATCCTGTCTTCCCAGCCTCAAGTATCCTCTGTTCTACTCTTTACTTCTATATCACTCTTTTTGTATACAGCACACATTAGTGAGGACATGTGATTTTTAACCTCCTGTTCCTAGTTTATTTCACTTAACATAATGTCCTCCAGTTCCTTACATATTGTCATGAATGATGGAATTTCATTCTTCTTTATTGCTGAATAGTATTTCATTGTGAATATATACCATAGTTTCTTTATCCATTCATCTATTGTTGGACACCTAGGTTAAGTCTATGTATTGGCTATCGTGAATAGTGCTGCAACAAACATAGGGTTGCAGATTACTCTTTGACATACTGATTTCTTTTCCTTTGGACAATTGCCTAGTTGGAGGATTGCTGTATCATATGGTAGTTCTACTTTTAGTTGTGAGGAACATTCATACTGTTCTCCATAATAGTTGTACTAGTTTACATTCTTACCAACAGTGTATAAGAATTCCCTTTTCTTCATATCCTTATCAGCATTTGTTATTTTTTGTCTTTTTGATAATAACCATTTTAACTAGGATGAGATTATATCTCATTTTGGTTTTGATTTACATTTCCCTAATGGTTAGTGATGTTGACCATATTTTTGTATGTCTTCTTTTAACAAAGATCTGTTCAGATCTTTTGCTCATTCGTAATCAGATTTCTTTTTGCTATTGATATTTTATTGTATGCAAATAGTATTGTGAAAAATTAATGTAATAAAAAATTTGTGAAGGGAACAATCCTATGCAAATATATTCAATGTGTTCTTCATTAAGTCTATTTATAATTTCCGTTTTTATTACCTCAAGTTTATAATTCTAAATAAGGCAAAATTCAACCAATTTATATTTTCACTCATTAAAAATACTATTGTTTATGTATTACTAGAACATAAGAGTTAACCATTGTGACTAAGCTTGATTTAGTGAATTTTTCTATATGAGATAAAATTACTTATATTTTATTACAATATGAATGGAATCATTGCTGATTTTCTATACATATATGAATTGAATTTCTTCAAATAAATCTTATGCTTCTTTTTTGCCCAGAAAGACATCTGGATACTCATCAGAAGTGTAAAAATTCCAACTAGAAGAAAAAAGAAATAATTATTATTTTTTCTTATTTCTATGATGGATATAGTAAATTATATTAGAAAAATAATCATTACCTTATATAGCTTTTAAAATATTTCTCATATATTAAATATTTTCTTATCTATTTCCTTTACTTATAATCATTGCCCGGCACATATTCAATCAATATTGCATGGATGAGTAAACATAGAAAATATATACCAAAGTTCAAAATAAAGCTACATGTTTTTATATCCCACTGCCACAAAATATTGTCAAATGAAGAAGTTTTTGTCTTTGAATTTTTCAATAATTGTCTATATGCATATAATATCTACACCCACACATATCCATGCACATAATATAATAAACAACATTAACTATAATTCAAAACTTTTGTGCAATACAACAAAGAATGGATAAAATGAATATTACATATATATCTTCTACTACATGGAGTTCATGCATTTCAACTTCTTAGTGTATGCTAAAATGCCCACTATTCAAGATTATATACTCTCATACTCCAAGCCCTTCCGTCACAGATACTCAGGGCCATTTGAAGACACAGCACATGCAAGTTTCTGTGCATATACACAGCACATGCAAGTTTCTGTGCATACACAAGAGTTTCATTGTGAAGTGAGTTTCACAATTTCTTTTTAATGAAAACTCATTGCTTAATAATAAATTTACATTAACATTTCCTAGCTTGGATTAAGGAGCAGTAACATTAAACAGCAAATAATGTTCAGTATATTTTAAATACAACTCAAAAAATCAAAATCAATACAAGAACATAAAATCCTTTTGCAAACATGCCAAACATTAGTACTATAGTAACTTATTCTCAGAAACCACTTATGTTAAAGGTACATTCACTTTGATTAATTGTCAATAAACCTAGGTCTTACCTGGCAATGTCTGTGTCATGACTGTGAAACTAACCCATGATCCAATCTATTATATTAAAACATAAATTAACAAGTAGCTATGGTTAATTTAGTAATTTGTTCACTTGTGGCCTTAAACAGATCAATTTAAGGCTGAAAACATTAGAACAGCTTTAGGAAGGAATATATTTCCAAAATACTAACAATTTAATTTTACATTTATAATTCATAAGCAATCTCATAAAAATAGTATCCATAACAGAGTACATAGTTCTAAAACATTTTATAAAAACTAAAATTCTGAAATATCTCAAGACATTTTATATGACAACTTCAAAATCTTCATTAAATATAGATCATTTTTGTACAAATACTTCTTTATCTGCAGAGAAAATTGAAATGTTCTATTTTCCCACACTTATAACTAGAATTGAAAGCTATGTCTCTGTGATCATTCTCTGTGCACATATCTATAGATAACACCTACATATATTTTATCATATATATTAATTTATAATACATGTAAACATATAAACAAATGTATTTAGTATGTCATCAAATAAAGTTCAGTTATTTATACACATAAATGACATACCTCATAGGTGTAGTTAGGACATGAAACCAGGAAAAACATCCATGTGAAAGGATTATAATTTGGACTTGGGAAACAGGCATTATTTCCTTTTAGAAAGAAAAGTAAAATGTTAATGATGCTACATATCACAAACCGATCATATACCTATAATACTAAATTCCCAAGAATAATTACATACCACATGAAATGTCATCACATATTTATAGCTATCCATTTCACAAATTACTCAGAAGAGACCCAGTTTAAAATGCTGTGAACTTTTAACTCAAATAGAATAGCTGTCACTTTCTGACCATAGCTATAGCTATGTTGGTATAAAAATACAGAATACACAAGAGTAATCAATTCTTTAAATTTTTAAATAAAATAATATATAAGCATTGTTTTGTATAACATATTTGTAATAACATTACATATGGAAATTATGAAATGTGTTTTAATAATTGCTTGCCTCTTCATATTCTCCTTTAGTGTTAAAGAAGGTATACTATATTGGCAGAGATTATTAAATACCTCAAATTTCCCTTTGTATTGATTAGTGAAAATACTATGGAATTTTATAAGGATGTAATTTATATAAGAAAAGTGTGAAAATTTCTCATGACAGTATTACCTGGAATATCAGTATAGTTAATATTCTGAAATACAATGTAAATTATGTCTTCTCAGCAATCAGGATTGTTATTTACATCTATCATTATACTTAGCTCATTATCACTTGATTTTTGTTACTTAATTTTCTCCTTTAAATGTTTTAGATACACATTTATCATGATTTCGAGTTGAACTTTGAGCTGTGACATTTGTGAAAGTATATATGCATTATAAAATTGTTTCATTCTCCAGAGCCAGATTTAATCAGATAATAAATCAACTAATCTTTTAAGTTATAACTCTAAAGTCATAATGAAATGTCAGTATGTTGTTTTCAAAATTGCAGCTATTGTTGAAATATCAAAGGAAAAATATACGAACTGTTGTGCAGATTCCATGCACTGTTCATTTTAAGATAAAAATAAATACGTATGCATGTACCCTAGCCCCTGCAAAAGTCAGATGTTTGTTGGAGGATAACAGTGAGTTACTGCAAAATTGATCATTCATTATCTACTATTGCAACTAATTACCAGATACAGTATCTTTACTAAAGCAGATTAACCCAGTCTTGGAAAAATGGAGATAACTCTGAGTTAACAAATGTATTTTTTTTTTCTACCTCTATTAGAAAAGGAGATCAGAACAGTTTCCTTTTCTTTAAAATGGACAATAATATACATTTACAATATTTATCTAGGGCTACTTTAATGTCCTTCCCTCTTATCCACATTTTCCAATAAGCTTCCTTTAAACTACTTTTCATATCAAACTCTGCCAACTGGAGAACATGACTTGTGACACCTTGTTTGTACAATCAATATTAAATGGTTCTTCTCTATATAACCCATGCCTAAACATTTTTAATAGATATTACAACAAACTTCAATTAATATGTGAGGAAGTAAAAAGCCATGCATGGCAAAGACTCATTTAGAGCTCACACAGGAACTGATAGTTGGATAAGGATTTTATGTAAGGAAAAAGAATCTTTGGGTGTTTGGATAGCTAGCACTGATGATCAGAAGACAAAGTTACACCTTGAACAAAGGTCTGAGACCCAATATATCAGAACACTGGATATAAAGAACTGAAATGAAATTATTTGAAAGTAGTAAGGCAAGAGGTTTTTGCGTTGGAAGGCATTGTTTCCAAGAGAGGAATAGTATATGGGAAGTTAGCTCAAATGGAGAAGATATCAACTAGATCCCCAATCTTTCTGGCACCAGGGACTGGTTTCATGGAAGACAATTTGTCCATGGACAAGGAGGGGGGAAATGTTTTTCCAGATGATTGAAGCACATTATATTTATCGTGCAGTCAAACCTCTCTAGTAATCATATTCTATATTTGCAGCGTCTCTTCAGCACTAGCATCACAACTTCAGCTGCATATTGGATCATCGGGAATTAGATTCTCATAAGGAGCACATTCTAAGCGAAGCATCACAAGAATGGAAAAACAAGCACCACATGTACTCACCATAAAATCGATATTAACTGACCAGCACTTAAACATGCACATATAGTAGTAACATTCATCGGGTGCCAGGCGTGTGGGATGGGGTGGAGGGGATGGATATATTCATACCAAATGGGTGCAGCACACATCGTCTGGGGGATGGACATGGTTAAAGCCCTGATGCGAGTGGGGCAAAGGCAATATATGCAACCTAAATATTTGTAACCCCGTAATATGCTGAAATAATAAAAAAAAACTTGAAAAGATAAATATGCTCTCATGTTTTCAGCTGAATTCGTAATAACATAAAGTCAGGTAAAGGGAGGATTAACCTCACAGGATACATGTTCCCAAATTGGGAACATTTGATGTTACCAGGAGATGGTGGTAAATCCTGATTTCCAATGGCCTGCTAAAGGGGACAGCTAGTGGAGTATACATAATCAAGGGATCATCTGACAGACAATCAGCAAGTGTCTCGAGTGTCTTTGTGGGTCAATAGCACTTATAATAGGTTTTCTAAACTAAGCTGAAACCTCCTGCGCATCAAACCATCACCCCTGTACTAGAAAGGTCATTACTACGTTAATGAACTTAGAAATTAAACTTATGCCACTGGTCTTCAACAGCACGAGTTGTCACTTAATGGTATGTAATCACCTAGATTAGAAGTACAAAGCAGGCAGGCACAGTGCTCACGCCTGTAATCCTAGCACTCGGGAGGCCAAGAGGCGGGTGGATTGCTCAAGGTTAGGAGTTCAAACCAGCCTGAGCAAGAGCGAGTTCCCGTCTCTACTATAAATAGAAAGAAATTAATTGGCCAACTAATATATATGGAAAAAATGACCCAGGCGTGGTGATGCATTCCTGTAGTCCCAGCTACTCGGGAAGCTGAGGAGTTTGAGGTTGCTGTGAGCTAGGCTGATGCCACAGCACTCACTCTAGCCTGGGCAACAAAGCGAGACTCTGTCTCAA